CGTTCGTCCCCATTCATTTGAGAACTCACAATGGATTTAAACTATCCACGCGAAGGTTACTTTCTCTTTCTGGGGAAGTGGGGAGGGGGGAGTTAGAGGGAGGAAGCAGAAACGAGGGGAAATTAATGCTGATTTCAAGGTGAATAAGCAAGGTGAATGCACCCCTATAAATACCTCCCACTTGGCTGGGTCCTCTTCAGTCCTGTTTCATCGATTGGTGCGGTCTCGACGTTCGTTTTGGGTTTCTTTCGACGAAGCGCTCCGACGCACAATGAAATTCGTGAGTTTTATTTTCGACTTTTACCGATGGAGCAATTGATCGAATTAATTAAGTTTAAAATCATGATTAATCGCTTGCAAAGATGTGCGCAAATCTCTTAAATGGTTGGGTGATTCCTTCTTTATTCCTTGTCAATAACTGCTCTACGCAAAAAAAAGGGAACAGCCATTCGGGTAGATCGGATGAAATGGCAGTACCTACAAGGCATTATTTTTTTTTTGTTGCCAATTATGAATGATATGGTGTCTTTTTTTTTAGTGGATGGCTGCACCAGAAGTTTCCTTTTCTTTTTGAATTTGTTTCTTCAACCGGGTTCATGGCTCAATGAAATCCGATTAATCGATGAAGCAGGCCGCAATTATTCAGATTAAAACAATCGATCAGTACCCATTACAATTCATTTGAATCTGAAGATTTCGCACCTGCGGAAGAAACAAACCATATTGCGCCACCAGACACCACTCCAGTCATCCATCTTTTCGCGCTCTCGTCCTTCTCCTCCTCTTCTCCTTCCTCATTACTTCTTTGAAACATGCTTTTCATATTAATCATGTATGTATTGCACCTGTGTTATACGCGTCTCATTTATTACTTTTTATTATTCTCATCTTTTGTTTCGGTATTTTTATCCGCTAAATATTTTCGTACATGTAAAGAATGACGACAGACGACTAATAGTAACTATTCGCGCTTGTCGACGTGCACCGCGCAGGCATTAGGACTGCTGTGGCTGGCGTGCCTGGTGGCTTTGGCCCAGGGAACGGAGGAAGAAGCACAACAGACTGATGGGCATGCGGTGGAAGGTATCAGCGAGGCCAAGGAGGACCTCACCCCCGCAGAAGGGAAATTCGGCTACGGAAAACGATTTGGACGACACGGAGGATACGGCTTCGGTGGATACGGAGGATACGGTTACGGTGGATACGGAGGATACGGTGGATTTGGTGGATACGGCTTCGGAAGAGGTGAACCTTTTCGTTCCCATTCTTACGTCGTTCCGCGGGTCCTCCTTGGTGCCAGGCATTTGTGATGTATCTCGTAAAACGAAGAAGTGCAAAGCATCCATGGTCCATAGGAAGACACTATCGCATTTTTGTCTCAGCTTTGACCACGCTACAGCTAAATTTTGAATATGGTAATTTATTATTTATTTATTATTGGAAAATCGAATTTCTAAGCAAAACCAAGAAAACAACCCGGAGGTACTTGGCATGTCCTGCATCCCTTATAAGCTGGGAAATGGCAGGCGGTTTTTTCAGGCGAGTTAACAGGAACAGCGTACCCGTACTTTTCCAGTACAACAACGCCGCTTCAACACAAAAATGAGTGCTTGATCTGAAGAGAAAACACATTGAATGAAATGAGACCTTCCGTTTCCTTTCCCTTTCCAGGATATTATAGCCCCTATTACGGCTGGGGAAACGGTTGGGGCGGCTACGGTTACGGCTACCCTAACTACGAAGGATTCTACGACTGGTGAAGATCGGCGACCCTTCTGGTTCAATCTTTGGGGTAACGATCCTGGTTCTTCTCGTCTGCTCGGCTCTTTTGTGTTCTCTGTTGTTTCGGTGACTACTAACGACGTCTTCTTGAATGAAACTATTTCATTTCTCTCCGTCGAGTGGTTCTTGCGGTCTGAGTCCTAGGGAGGTGAAAATGCGTCGTAAGAAAATATAAAATTATTATTAGGAGCAATTTTCACAAAGTGCTTGCCATTCGAAGTTACATTACCCCAGTATCAGTAAGAAGAAATCTACAGTTTCGCGATCCGACTGGGAAAGGACGCCCTTACCTTGGTTCACAAGCAGCAGTAGGAAAACCATCGTCGCTCCCATTCCTGTTTATCTGGCTCTTGACCTGGGAAAGGTTGCGTCCCAAGAATGAATATAAAAGCCTACATTATTTTAATTTAGAGAATTCAGATTTCTGGCTTTCCCTCCCATTCCTGGGTACTTTTCCAATCTAAGGAAAGTAAAAGACAAAGCGTCTCGGGAAGATGAGACCAAAAAAAGGATTTGAGCTCGAACAACCTCTTACTTCTTATCAAATAGGGATTAGGGTCATTCCATCCCAATTCGCCCAATAAAGAGAGCCTCACCCCCTCGATTCATATTCCCATTAAAAAACAACAAGTACTTGTTGCAGAAGTCGCCTCGACCGATTTCTAGTGCGCCACAGATAAACACACCCAACAGCCAGCGTTGCAGCCTCCGCGTCTCAAAGATGCGAGCGAACGAGATGAAAGGAAGCACAGAAGAAGACGAACCAGAAGCCACCATTGCTTTCCCTCGTGCAATTGAGGGTTGCAGGCAGCCTTCCGAAGGATGTTTTTCGAGACGATGCCACGTCCCTTCCTGGACCTCGTGAATGATCCACGCTCTCTCCTGACGTGGCTCCTCTGAATCATTTTCTCCAGGTGTATCTGAGAGAGCAGACTTCAAGGACTTGGATAATTGAGCCCGGGGCGAGGAAAAAATCCAAAACGAAATTAGGAATATTTCAACTGGCTTGGTATTAGGTAGATAGGAAAATGGTATTGGAGTACGAAGAGAAAATGAAATCGTTTTCTTTAATTTTCACTTGGGGTCAAATTCTTTTTCAACCCTTTTTTCTTTTTCGACCCGACTATTCTGACCGCCTTTATTAGTCCTCTCCTTGCAGTCATACTTCCGCTTATTTGGATGTCACTTGGGCCTGTCTTTGCGTCATATCGTCATGACCTAAGTTGGAATCAAGGTTTCTCCTTGTTTTAGAACCGGTCTTCGGAGCTTCAACGAGAAAGGCAACAGAACGAATAAGTCATTCCCTTCACAGCCAAAATTTGCCTTCGTGTCTACCGTAAAGAGGAATAGACATAGTGACCGAAAAATGACAAAGGAAAGTGATATCTTCTTCGGCGGCTATCTTGCGGATTCACCGCATCGAAGACCTCCGCGCAAATCAGTCCATATAATATAATTGCATGATATTTTTTCTTTAAGGGGGGAGGGGAAGGAAGGCAGGCCTCTGAACCGGTCTCAAAAGGACGTCCCCTTAGGTCAAAGAAATTCTAGGAAGCCGCCCAATGGGGGTCGAGGAAGGTGGAGCTCTCTCTTCACGTTGCCCTTTTCTTGTGTGCTTGGGACAGGTCTGCCATCTATTTTTTGGAGGTGCAAGCAAACCATTATAATGGACCTCTACGGAGCAAACTTTTAGTACGACTACCATGAAAACGCGTTCAAATTTTTTTACATCTTCTTGCAAATCCGTAACAGTAGCGACCATCTCTGTGGAATAACCATGGGATTTTGGAATCGATCTCGTCGTTTTCGAGATACTGAGATCAAGAATTAGTTAGTACTTAATGCGCTACTTATTATAAATACCATCATGAGAAACAGATCAATGACTGAATGACATTGATATAAGGTTCATATGTATGGGAGCTACACGTACACCACGCGACAACAATGGCTTCAACCAGGAAAATGAATCTTGAGAGGGTTTCAATTTCCTGGGCAGATGCCAAGGTCATAAGGGTCCCTGACCGGGAAAAATCTCTAGGAGGAATGTCTTCAAGGTTAAGAACAAGGAAAATCAAAACAAAACCTTAGGGGATCACCTAAGTTTATCTGGGGAATTCCACCTCGTCTGCTAATCTGGGGAATCCCTATTCATTTATCTGTGCAGACAAATGACCCCTCCCCTGATGTGTCGAGCAGAGAGAAGAGGAACGGAAAAAAGAGGAACAAAAAAGCCCTCATTACGAGAAATTAAGGAAAAATAATTTAGTCTTGCGGCCCCCAGCATTAGCATCTTTTAGGGATGTGAAGCTTTGGATAGAAAGTATTGATAGAGAAGAGTTGCTGAACCTATACATTTTTATGTCCCGGGTCCTACGTATGAGAAAGGAAGGCATTGTAAGAATTGCGTGGTATAAATAGTGAATTTTATCGGAAGTTACGTTTCTGTAATTTTTATATATATTGTTGAGAATCATGTTACCTTGCGTATGTGATGGTATGAAGCCTAAGCCTTTGGCAGCTGTGAAAATGATTTCGAAAATTGAAATTGAAATTGAGGTGGGCCCTTTTTCGTTAATGAATCCCGTGGAGAAGTGGGGCGGATTGAAGAAAGAGAAAGCTTTTAAAAAATGATTTTACTTCAGACACCCTTACTTGATATATATGTTTTGGGAAGATTGTACTTTCACCCCGTCCCCATTTGAATTAAAGCGCTTGACAAGTTTTCTAAATGAATATTCATTGCAAAATCGTGGAACATTGATCGATTTCATGGCACAATGACACGAGTGTGTGAATGAAATTGCAAGATCGCTCGACCCATACTTATATATATTGCTTTTGTCGATGAGTGAACATCTATCTGACTGAAGCAATGACGTTACAGGAACTATCATATTTTGCATTGCATGAGGGGTACGTACGCCACACGACAACAATGGTCTCAACAAGGAAAGAGAGGAAAGGGAAGAGGGAAAGAGAGAAACCTGGAGAAGGTTTCAGTTTCCTCGGCCGATGCCAAGGTCAGAAGAGCCCCTGGCCGGGAAGAATAAAGTATAGGAGGAAAAACCTCAAGGTCGGGAACAAGGAAAACCGAAACAAAACCTTAGGGCCATCAATATTCATCTGGGGAATTCCACCTCGTCTGCTAACCTGGGGAATCCCTATTCACTTATCAGTTCAGACAAGTGACCCCTCCCCTTAAGGGGCGAGCAGAGAGAGAATGGGGGAGAGGGGGAAAGAAGGGATTAAAAAAGGGCTGTTGGCCCTTTTTAGGCACTCCTTAAGGCATACTATAAATACTTCCCAAAGGCCTGGGTTGCCTTCATTCCCTTTCGTCTGGCTGCGGCTGCTATTTGTATCTGCGTGATTTCATCTCGTCCTTCGTTCAACAGCGCACTATCCAGCACAATGAAAATCGTGAGTTTCACTTTCTAATAGGGTTGGTAATGTGATTGCAAAAATCGACCAATTCATCGATTACACTTTGAGTATGGTCAGAAATCAATACCCACTAATCGAACACCAATAGATACATGAACCTCTTCTTGGTTTGGCTGTTGCAGTTTGATTCATTGTCAACTCCAGCTCATGATATGATATTTATGTTTATATTCCCGAGATCTATACATGGACGCGACGGGATATTTTATGGTATTTACCTCCGCATATGCAAGGAATGGAGACGACCGACTACTGAACCCTTGACAATGCACGTTTGTCACTGGTCCTCCATGCAGGTGTTCGGGCTTCTCGGATTGGCGTGCATGGTGGCACTGGCCCAGGGGGTTTGGGAAGACGGGGAACAGCCTAGTGAATATTTGGTGGAAGGAATGAGGTCTCAGCCCTTGGAGACCCGGGAGGACCTCGTTCCCGCCGAGTCTGCCGCTCCAGGATTCGGCTTTCGACGACGATTCGGCTACGGAGGAGGTGAGTTCCGTCATTCCCAGTCTTCGAAGCTTATGACCTTGTCGGTGCCTTAAGTTCCTCTTGTGAAATGAAAAAGTTGCCAGTTTCTCTATGGTCCGTAGGAACACAGTTTCATATTCTCATTTTGGTTTCGACTAGGCAAGCAAAATGTGGAATAGTCATTGACTTTGGTTGGAAAATCGAGGTTTGACTAAAACTATTTCGAAAAAATTAGTCTAGAAAATGGTCCTAACCGCATATTTTGCATGCCGAAAAAGTTGCCATCACCTTCACACAGAAATGGCAGTCGGGTTTTTAGTAGAATCGAATTTCCCTTCTTCCCATTGCTTTACAATGCTTTATTTGTAATTGGGCAGGTGATTGTGGACAACAAAAAAAATCACAAGGATCGTTGTCATCTCCCAAGGAGAAGCCATTAACTCGACAATGAATTTTTCCTTTGGGCCTGATATGAAGAGAAGCTTCTCAATGACATTGCAGGAAGTAGTGAATGGTTTCTCATAGCAATCTAATATATATATATATACAGGGTGGGCCAACAAATTCCGCCCCAATTTTTAATTGCACATAACTCAAAAACTATTGAAGCCATAGGCTCGAAAAAAAATTAAAGCTTGTTCCTTCCTTTTTTAAAGTAGTCTAAAGGTTCATTGTAATACGTGCCATGGCCATTTGAATCAACCATGACTGAAAAAAAAATTTGTAAATTGAGGAAAAAAACAAAAATACATTTTTCTGCAGTTGGAAATGACCTCAAATTTTACTTTTCGATAAAGTGTTCAATGTGGCCACCATTTTCACCCACTACGGCACTCAATCGCTTGCGCCATTTGGAAATGGCTTTTGAAATCCAAGCCTGGGGAAGCTCCTCCCAGGCTGCACAAATACTCTCAGGTGTTCAACGTCGCGAATTTTTTCACCTCGATAAACTTTCTGTTCCAAAGTAGACCAGATAAAGTAATCGACCGGGTTCAAATCTGGGCTGCATGGTGGCCAGTTCTCAGGCTCAATGAAGGCAGGGCAGTTCCTCTTGAGAAAGGCCATGGTCTCCTTGGCAGTGTGCGCTGGAGACAAATCTTGCTGGAAGACAAATGTTGAGTACTTCTTGATTTCAGCCAACATGAGAGTCAAAACCTCATCGCAGTAGCTCTTGGCATTGATTTTAACCCCGCGAGCAATGAAGATGATCGAAGCTTTCCCTGACGAAGAGGCCGCAAGTGAAACCATGACCGACTGGGAAAAGTGCTTCCGTTCACACAGAAGATCAACGTCCTTTTTTCTCCCTGTAGCACGAACTCGGTCATTCTGCGTGTTCCTTGGAGTTTCAACAGTGAAACTCTTCTCGTCGGAAAACCAGATTTTCTGCACAGCTTTGTTGCTACGGAACCGGCTCAATAGTTTCTTGCATCGTTCATGGCGTTTCTGCTTCACTGGCGATGAGAGCATATGGACAGCGCATCCCAGTCTGCTTTGACACTTCGCGCACACTTTTGCTTGTTCCAGGCTCTCCTTCTTGACTCAGAATCAGTTCTTCGACGCTTTCGATGTTTTCTGCTGTTCGAACAGTTCTTGGACGACCTGATCCAGGGCGACGCTCAATGCTTCCTGTTTCTTTCTCAGTAAGTCTCGAACAGTCGATTTCTTCCACTGCCGATCAGGAAACTCCTTCAGAATTTGGTTCAAGGAATGTTTTTTTTCCTTACGAAGTGCACAGATGAGATGCTTATAACTTTCTGATAACCCGCGGTGGACACTTGTCATTTTTGGCCCTGAGGAAGAAAATTTAAAAAAATTAAAAAGTGAAAACTGACGCTCAGATGCACACGGCAATTTCTCGTGGAAGAGAGAGCAAACATCGTTGCTGCAGGATCGCAATGAGCTAAGCTTCTCTGCTGAAAGCTTGGAGTACTGGTCTGCTGTTCATGCACGTTTCAGCATAAAAATGATGCGGTATTAGGAAGAGATGACTGGGGAGGGTGAAAAAGTAGCCAGCCATTGAACTGTGTCTTCCCCTCTTCACAGCAGGACAGAAACAAAGGCGCCTGTAGCAGTAGCAACACCTTGCAACTTTTTTTCGGTCATGGTTGATTCAAATGGCCATGGCGGCCATGCCATGGCACGTATTACAATGAACCTTTAGACTATTTTAAAGAGGAAGGAACAAGCTTTAATTTTTCTGTTTTTTTTTTTTCGAGCCTGTGGCTTCAATAGTTTTTGAGTTATGTGCAATTAAAAATTGGGGCGGAATTTGTTGGCCCACCCTGTATATATCAAGGCACGCAGCTTAGCTTATTTAGCATTCCTTTTTATTTTGAACTATCTGACATCATCCCTGTTCCGGTTTTAACTTAAAAAGTAATTATTATTCGTGGGGAAAAGACAGTATACAGACTGTGAGTCATTCTGTTTCTCCTTCTTTCCAGGTTACTTTTGGCCCAACTACGGCTGGGGACGCGGTTGGGGTTGGGGTCGGGGTTGGGGTTGGGGTGGCTTCCGCCGCCGTTACGACGACGATGATCGACGATGATATTTCTGCCGCCAACGATCATCATTTATGATCACAATTCAGATTCTTACCAAGATCTGTATTGTTTCGGCGGCTGTGAACAGCGATGCACTCCTGAATAAAGGTCTTCAAGCATTTCGTTCGTTCCTCTTATTCGAGTTTTTTCAATTTCATTCGAGGGAGGGACTCAATCTGCGAGGCGAAAATGAGTCGAGAAAAACGCAGAAATTAGAGAAGGGGTCAATTTATGTTTTTTTTTTTCCAAACGGACGCAATCCGGAGGAAAAAGGCGATTCTATTTCTTCACGATCTTTCTGGGCAGAAAATCCATCCACCTCATGTAAAACGTAAATTTTTGACTCCACTTTGAACGACTGTCGATTTTTATTCAGACAACCTAGGTACATGAAACTTTCATGAAACAAATTTTGTGATGTTTTCAACCGTGACACAAAAACATCATGGATTATCCACAGCGGGTTTTGTGAAGCGTCAAACAGGACGCGTTTTTTTAAATGGTATTAGTTATTCGTTATTAGTTATTAAGGTTATAAGTTTGAACTTATTACTGGAGGAGAGCTTACATCATTCCCAGTGATTTCAACAGGGGACAGCTACCACAAGTACCAGCGTTTTTTTTTTCAGGATACGATCCATCTGCACTTGAATGTTAAGCCTAAATAAGTAACTACAGGAAATTCTGGATGAGATGAACTCCGTAATCCTCCCCTTCCAAAAAAAAAAGAGAGACATAAGTTCAGGCAGCAGAGAAACGAAATCGTCACCCCTAACCACCGAGGAACCAGAGGGAATGCTGGAACAGACCAGGGGCCCGTTCCTCGCCTGTGCTAAACTTAAATCTAAATCTAAATCTAAATCTTAGGCTAAATCTTAGTCTAAATGGTCAGGGTGAAGAACAGCCTTTTTGCTTTTAGACTGCTTTTAGATTTAGATTTAGATTTAGATTTAAGTTTAGCGCAGGCGAGGAACAGGCCCCTGGAGTTCACCGGAGACGAACGTTAAGTGCAATAATGATTAAAAAAGACATTTTATAGTTGTTTGCCCTCTCTGGGAATTGTTTCCCAGCAAGTCTTCTCCTTGTTCTGCCTTCTAATCTGGATTAGTAGTTTAAATCGCTCCTGGAAAGTCAAGCTGTAATATTATTGTCCAGTAGTTCGATTTGGCGCCCAGGAACAGAACCATTCAACGATCTCAAGAACTTTCTGATTCTGATGTTAATGATCTAGTTGATCCAGCCGGGTAAAGCCCACCTTCCTTTGTGTATTTTTTATTATCGAACATTTGCTGATTACTCTTTTAGTTATTGTTTTCGCTTTTCCCCTTCTCATTGTATCTTATTCTATTAGAATGCTAAGCCCCACTTAGTTGTGTTGGTATTTCGAAGCCATATCCATATTCCAGGAAAAAAAATCGTTTGATACCTCGTATGCTTGCTTTCCTCTTACGGAAACAAAAAGGAACGGCAGAACGTGCGAACAGATCCGGCAAACATTAATAGCTGGCTGTACAGATTACGGAATGAAAGGGAAAAAATCCCGCGTTTGACTCGCGACGCATTTTCGTACGATTATTGCATGTCCCATGGCCGTGCACGCCCACTTTCCGTTGCTGAAGATTTATTCCCACCATAACTTGAGCCTTGAAAACAGGTAGTTTCGGAGAGGGGCGAAACAAAATGGTCGCTCCCCGGGGCTGGCCATTACGAGCTGAGAGAAACGCTGGATTAGACATATGGACGGAAAAAATAGTTGGAGTTTCGTCGTTTTCCCCTAGTAAATTCATTCCACGATTTTGCGCTTTGGCTTGAAGAAAGATCTGACCTTGGGGATGCGGTCAGCACATCGAAACGAGTCTGAGATCCCTGCGCAAGAGCGTGAGAATTCTCTGCGATGCGGAACTCGCATTTTGACTCAGACGCGGCGGCGATGTGTCCGACCTGAACTCGATGGAACCGTTCATGAGCCATTTCATGAAATGGTGCCTCTTTTATTTTGGCTAGTTAATTTTGCTTCAAGCATGCTTCGAAGAAGGGAAAAGAAACCCAAGGAGAGCCTGCACATTCTTTTCTAAAATATTTCAGAATTTTTTTTTTCTAAAAGCTTCTCCCTCGTACCAAGCAACGATGCTTTTGTCAAAAAATTTCAGATATTGGTCACACTGAAACAACAAAAAAAAAGTGGACCGAAACGAAAAGAAATTGGACGAAGCTTATTTTTGTCACATTTTACGTTCTATGGCATGAGAAAGTAAATATTCTGAAGGTATTATATATTTTCATAAATTTTCACATACTTTTCTTCTCGGTATATCCCAACACAAAAGTCGTTCACTCGTTAATTTGAATATTGGGGCCAAGAAATCCGTCGATTTAAAATATGCGAAATGCTGAATTGAAATAATCACTCAGCTTCATCGTATTATACGTTTTCTTCTGATCTGACAGAAAATAAATAGATCTCGAACACGCTTACTTGTGGAAAGTAACTAGTTACAATTACAAGTATTTCATCCAAAAAGTAATTAGTTACCGGTAGAATTACTTCTCACCAAAAGTAACTAGTTACAAGTAGAAGTTACTTTTCAAGCTACTTTTCCTGAACGAAAACTCTGATCTTTCTACAGCTTCTCCACTTCTTCGACAGAAGCTGGATGCATGGACCGAAAGCGAAAGTTACCCCTGATTTCATGAAAATTGAATTATTAGGTTGGCCAAAAAGTTCTGCAACACTTGCGAAAAAGGTTTATTTTTATGTGCATTTTTGTTAATTTTTTGTGTGTTTTATGCACAATTTTTGTTGTTTTTGTGTTTATTGTGTTCCGGGTTCATCTTTATCCTCAAAGTTTCAGATGACATTGGACAAAATCGAGCTTCGAGTCTTGATACGCTATTGTTGGAAGCGACGACTTTCGACCAGATTTTTTGTTGTTTTTGTGTTTATTGTGTTCCGGGTTCATCTTTATCCTCAAAGTTTCAGATGACATTGGGCAAAATCGAGCTTCGAGTCTTGATACGCTATTGTTGTAAGCGACGACTTTCGACCAGAGATGCGAAAGAGATTTGTGATGCTGAAGGCGAAGGAACCGTCCACTACACAACTGTTTCCCGATGGTACAAACGATTCGATTCCGGTGACCTTAGTCTCGAAGATCAACCACGTTCCGGTGGAACTTTGAGGGCGTGCTTCACCTTGAACAGGTTCAGAATGACCGTGCCGTGAACGCCGAACTCTACTGCCAACAACTGGACCGTGTCTATGACAAGCTGCAGGAGAAGTACCCGACCCTCGTTCGTTGCAAACGTGCTTTGTTCCAGCAAGACAACGCTAAACCCCACACCGCCAAGAAAACAGAGGAGAAATTTGACTTACTGGAGGAAGTCTAACTGTTGCCGCACCCAGCCTACTGTCCCGACGCTGCGCCATCCGATTACGGCCTCTTTCGATCAATGGAGCACTTTTTGCGAGGTCGCCGATTCGAGTCACTTGATCAAGTTGAGGAAGCGTGCCAGGAATTCTTCGATTCGAAGCCGGCAGAATGGTCCTTCAATCAAATCCGGATGCTTGCAGATCGGTGGCAAAAGATTGTTGATAACGATGGCCTTTATTTTGAAGAGTAGTTGTTATTGTTTTTAAAAAAAATTTGCGCATAAAAATAAACTTTTTCGCAAGTGTTGTAGAACTTTTTGGCCAACCTATGATCAGCACTTAACTGGATAAATACTCATGCTCACTCTTTTCCCTGTGCCTCGTCCCTTTCCATGAGCTACTTAACAGGAATTATATACTGATAAACAGAATGCACCCTTTAGTTAAAAAAAAAAAAACAATTCAGTCATTGGTGATGAGGAGAGCTACCTCAGCCTGTCCCTTATCATGAGTACCAGATAGAAAAATATAACTAACCAAAGTCATGTTCTCTTGTTTTCCCTTAACCAGACATGGACTGCATA